AGTAAAGAGTTTATTGTTTGTATATAACTTGAATTCATGTTAAGAAGTTAGCAATTCTCCAGATATTGTGACATGCTTATCGAATGTTCAAACACACGTACACATTGGTAAACACACAGACCAACCACAAGACAACGAAAAGCTAAATCCTGTCTGATAGACCAAAACGACTCGATCTGCAAACAACCTTTCGAGAATGACTACCCTACCGTAAATTCACCATAGAAAATTATGATTATTTGGAGATCGTAAGATGCGTCTGGTGTGACGTAGGTTTAGAAAAACGTTTTCTTACCGAACGTTTCGATCTTTATTGATATCATCTTCAGGGCTCAAAGTGTTTGTTTTTTGCGCAGATGTATCATTATTGCTTGTCGTGTTGAGAATGAACGACACACAGTAATGACCCACCTACACAGAAAACGAACAGTTTATGCCCTGAAGATGATCTCAATAAAAATCGAAACGTTGGTACGATAAATTTTTTTCTACACCAACGTCACACCAGACCGCAACTCACGATCTCCAAATAATCATTAATTAATGGCCACTAAACATCACACATTTCTACAATAGAAAATTACACATGGTGTTTTTACGCCCTCATGATTGGCTACCTGTTCTTATGAGGATTTTTTGCCAATGGAAACTCGTCTAGGATTTTCTATGCACAAACATTAATAGCATTTATTTTAGCTTGAAAAACCAAGGTGTACTTATAACAGCAATAAAATTAATATCATGTGAGTTCAATTGCTGATAATTCGATTTGTATGTTCATTACCCAGAATTTCAAAGCGCCCTGGCATCCATCTAGTAATTGTTATAGTTTAGTTTTAGTTTAATTAAAGATTTTTTGTAAACGCCCTGAAGGAGAGTAAAAAAGAGAATATTAGTATTGAGATTATAACGAGATTCCTTCTCCATGCCTGCTGGTCTTTTAAGATTTTCAAAGGCCCAATTATCAATAGCATTAATTTCAGCTTGAAAACCCTAAGTGTGCTTCCCAAACTAGTTTGAATGCTCATAATTTGGTCTTACCCAACAAAATTCCTAACCCGGGACCCTTACTGGGTTTGGATTCATATGTATACCATATAATAAAGTCTGTCAGATCAAAACAGAAAGGATACGCAAACTAACACTTTCGGAAATGACCAACGTACCATAATACACATATCTCTCAAATTTATTATTAAATCTTTGCATTTGTTAACTTTTCACATTATTAATCAAAGTTTCAAAATCAAGTTTTGAAGAGGGTGTATTCCTCAAATTCTCTAACGAAGAAACTAAGTGCTTTGTTTACAATTGGCCTTATCGCTGATGATTTTTTAATGGAAAACTATGCCCTTTCCGCAGTTCTAATATATGGGACGTTATATATAAGCAAAGAAGTTGAAGAATTATAATAATCGTTCAATAGAATTGAAGAACTGACAGATTAAATAAATATAAATGCAATCATTTACAAGATTTACAAGTCTTATTTTAAGTGTTATTTGGAATGCCCGAAATATTTAGTCTTCATCTATTTATCGGAATCTATATGAGCTTCTTGGTTAATTATTTTCAATGGATGCCAGTTTAATATCATTTCTAAAGCTTATCATTTCAAAAGCTAAAGGTTGTTGCCATTGTCCCTGTTTAGCATAGTTTGCGCGCTACCTAATATTTAGTTACCTTGTTTTTCCTGAGCTTAGATACCAGATGCAAGTATATCGTAAGAGCCATTTTGGTCAGTCACCCGTTAAAAGGGACACTGATAAGAGCACGGACCACCCAAAACTCGACTGACAGACCAAAAAAGCAAGGATATACAAACCAAAACTATCGAAAATGACTGAAGACTAGAATTTTTCCATAGGCTATAAATGTAGTAATAGATTTTTATATTTGTTGCCTTTTTAAAGTATTAACTTAAAATTCCAAAATCTACGGAGGTTTCAGCAACTCCACGAAGGAACAAAAAAAAAAGTTTTCTTTTCAACTGGCCACATCCCTGATCATTTCAATAGAAAACTATGCCCTTTCTGCAGTTCTAATAATTGGAAATGATGGGGGTTCATAACATAACATTTCCCAATTTTATAAACTATTCCGAAAATAGTTGATTTATGATGGTGAAATGTCAAAACACAATATTGCACATTTTGACAAAATTGAGGGCTAAAGGAGTTAGATATCTATGACCGTTCGATATAATTGAAGACCTGATCAATTCAATAATAATAAAATAACAGTAAAAGTAATTCCTGCCATGCAGAGAGTTAACGTTTAACCTGTTGGATGTTATGGACGATGGGTTTACACCACTTTATAATGTCTTTTAAATATTTATTACTGATTAAAATTCCAAGGGCTGTGCTGGGAATTGAACCCTGACTAGCATGACAAATGCAAGTTCAATGTAATTTATTGTTTAATATAATTTCAAATAATGCTTTGTTAGCTCATTTTGTTCTACGAGGGTTCGCAACTACAAAGATCATAACAATTTCAGGGATCCAGGCATTAAAAAAATAAATGGGTGCTGAGATTCCAACAGTCTTATGAGTCGACGTGTCAAGGCGCAAACCGTTCCGGCCACCGTTAGCATAATTATTATGTTAACTATATTTATATATTATTTATGTAAGGTATTGATTGAGATAAAAAAAGTCAGTGTCACGAGAGGGATTCGAACCTACAACCTTCCGCTAAATACGCCGCTGCTCTACCACTTGAGCTATCGTGACTACGATCCACTTGGACTCCAACTTCCCATCTCAACCTACCTTTCGAATTTTCCCTCCTTTTTGCCATTTTTCAAATGTCGTGTAATCAGTGGATCTAAGTCACGATAGCTCAAGTGGTAGAGCAGCGGCGTATTTAGCCGAAGGTCGTGGGTTCGAATCCCGCTTATGACACTAGCTTCTTTATTTCAAGCAATACATTACATATAGATTAATTAATTGAAAGAAGTTATTTGGTCAATCGGACCACGAAATATAATGGATTATTAATCATAAATCGTGAAATGCGGTCTGGTGGCACTCTCAACACGACACGCAAGAATGGCACAATTACACAGAAGACAAACACTTTGAGACCTGAAGATGATCTCAATAAAGATCGAAACGTTGTACCAGACCGCATCTCACGATTTCTAAATAATTATCGATTAACGGTCACTAATCACCACACATAATGGATTATGTTTTTCTCTTTACAAAAGCCATTTTTCAAATCCCAATTTTTCTAATAAATAAATGATGTATGACAATTTTTTTGCACATTTTGTTGATGTGTTGCATAAATTTTTTTTGTAAATATTAGCTTTTTCCTAATTCGTACAACAATGATTTACTATGTTTTACAATTATACAAAGCCGGATTTACATTTATAAATTATGCAAAATGTCTGTTTGCTCTTCTCTATGACGGGGTACTCATACACCTGGATATTTTGTCCTCTAACGTGAGCCGCTAATAGAAATTTAACAAGGCCAGAAACGACTTTTATTGGATAAACAACCATTTTAAATGTAAATCGTAAACCTGCAATATAGGATTTTTTTTATTGTGTATAACTCTTTTCCCTCCAAATTGTTTCCATTTATATTTAACGAGGAAAAGCAATTTACATCTCTTAATCAACGCCGAGTCAATTTTTCACTAATTGCCCCATTTTATATTTCGCATGTAGATCTCGCTATTCAATATTTGAAACGGGCCGGTTTTAAAAAATGAACTTATTCAATCAATATTTAAATCAAATCGATGACAATTGAATATTTCTATTTTTTTTTGTTAACTTTCAAGATTTTTACAAAATATATTTTAGTCTTAAATATTTTTATATGTTATTGTTGGCTGGTGAAAGGACTACCTGTTTGATGTGTAGATGAAAATAAAATACTGAAAATACCAACGAAGTTACAAGAGACGTAAAATATACTTGGACCTTTGAGGAAACTTTCTCCATAAGAAGATGAAAGGACACTCAAGAGTATCATCCCATATTACTCACTGCAAACTAATATGTACTAAAATAAATTTTACCAATGAGCAAACCTATATAAATCAGTAAAATTTTCGTCATAAACTATGTGCAATTAGGAAAAGGAACAGAGGCTTAAAGTTCTATAGTTTATAATACAATAAATCGAAATGGATCATTTAATACCGAAAACGATTCGCAAAAGGGCCCAAACCGGTAACGGCTCATTTAACAATTTTCTATTCTCAATCTACCGGATTGTATTAGGATTATTTGACAAGCCCTTGAGAAATTATGTTCAAAAACTAATCTGAGAATTGAACCAGTCCGTGACAAATGACTACTATCGTGCTCAAGGCGAAAAAGACTGTCTTTCAATAAACCGGAAATTAATTAACTGCCTAGCCTTTCGACTCCGTGGGGGACAATACTCTTTAATTATTCGACTTTAATTAAACCACTAGCAACTCGTCGGAATAGGGAGAGCTGATAACTAGTGATTTAATTTTCTGCTACATTCTGTCGTGTCTGTATTTTATCGTACCTGCTTATAAAAGGGCTGGAGAGAAATAGACACTTGAAGATTTGAAAAAATAGAAAGTAGTAAATCATATCTCTGCTGTCTGATGCTTCTGTGCATAGCACATAAAGTAATGATATTTTTGTCATACAGGACGTCTTTACGCACAAACTACTCATTAACTCGTTTCTCGTCCACTTTGCCTCTTTACTATGCTTTTTTCAAATGATTCTTTAGTGAAAATCCTAAAAGAAAATTTTAGTAACAATGCTGAATTACGGCCCAGAACCGCTGTTGTGAAAATGACTGCCTGCGATGTATATTCAAGAAAAGATTCTAAGTCGGGATAATGACGATGCCCAAACGATCAAGACTTCAATATGTCTTTCATTAATGACATACAGTCATCAAATTAACCTCAAAAGGTCTTGAATTGTTGACTATTTATTTGTTTATAGAAAAAAGTAATGTTCTAATTACCATGTGAAACGTGCTTACCTTCAATTATCAGATAGGCTGTCTGGTTGACCAAGTTGTGCATGATAGGGGCGAAGACCTGGAAGTTAAGAGTGTGGAGGGAATTGTTGCGCACGTTGAGAAATCTGAGAGAGGTCGTGTCTTCGAATAATCCAGGTGGCAGGGTCCTCAGGTTGTTTCGGGCCAAGTAAACTTTGCCAAGAAACTGAAGGTCTATTAGTGCACCCGGGTCTAGAGCTTCGATCGAGTTCCTTTCGAGCAGAAGTTCTTCAAGGGCTGTCATTTCTCCGAAGGTACCTTCTGCGATGTAAGTGAGCATGTTTAAGCTGAGGTCCAACCGACGAAGCCGGGTCAATCCGCGGAAAGTGTCTCTCGTGACGACAGTGAGCTGGTTGCCGTGGAGTTCCAGTTCTTCTAGAGAATAAAGCGACGCGAAAGCTCCTTCGTGTATCAAGCTGAGGTTATTACGATCAATGTAAAGTTTTCTTAGTGATGGCAACGACACGAAGACCTCTCGGTTCAACTCGCTTATCCTGTTCTCCCCTAATGTAATCACTTTGAGATCGGGTAAGAATGATATGCTGAACTTTTTGAGATTGACGATTTTGTTCCTGATAAGAGCGAGATCCTGGAGAAGGGTCAAATTGGCGAAGGCGAACGGCTCGACAGTTTCGATGTTGGCGTAGACTATTTCGATGGCTTTCAGCTTCGGCAAGTGTTTGAACGCGCGGGTCGGGACGTACGGCAGACTGCTCACAGCCCGGATGTGGAATGTGAGCTTGGTAAGTGACCTTTGAGACTTAAACGCCGTCCAGACGCTGGAGTTCTCCGGCTCGCCGGTGTTGAACAGCCAGCAGTTGGCGCTCGTCGCGTTACCTGCCATGTCTTGATTCTCACAGTAACAAAACATGTTGATCTGCTGTTCAGAAAGAAGGTTGCAGACGTTCAGTTCACCTTCACTGGTAGAATGCTCTGTCCTCGGCCTCCTCCTGTCTTCATAGCGGCTTAGGCCTGGGGTGGCCAGGACGACACACGACACCACAGTGAGGAGCAAGTATCGACCCATCACATCCACCTGTTGACAAGAAAAATTAAACATAAATATATAAAGCTCAAGGGAAAAAAATGTTAAAGATAGGAAAGTGATAAACCTAAAAGTGGAAGTGGTTCCAGCCCATACTTAGAAGGAGATATTTTTTGGTGACACCAGATCGAATTTTTTAAAAATATTTATTCATTTTTATTACTTAACTTAAATAAAGGGGCGTCGGTAGCTGCAAAAGTTCAGGCATTGACACGGCGCTTCTTCACTGTAAGGTAAAAGTCCCGTGTTCGAATTCAGCGGCTTTCGGAATTCGAAGCCGATATACTCAGAAATGGGCTGTTTTTTTTCAAAAACACCGGCACCACGAGAGTTCATACAACCTCCTAGTTGAAATACCAATGTTAAAAAATAAATATTTATCACTATTTTGAATTTTAAAATTTGTTTTTCTGGATTTTAAGGCTATGATATATCAAGCGGTCTTTTTTTTACTTAGGATAAGAAATTATTATGCAGGATGAAATGAAAATAAATATATAAAAGTTACTAAGTCTTTCAAAAAAGTAGGCTAAAAATACACCCTTTCAAGAACATAAAAACGAATTTTCTGATTAACTAAAACTAGACAGGTTTTAGGTGGAGAGCGCGAATTTTTTCTCAGTGTCACTAGTTCAACATAAAATTGTATAACTCCTCTGGATTTTATTCAAATTGAGCATTTATACAACAGTTAGATACAAAAAGTCCCCTTCTTTCAGGTTAAATTAACAACGTTCAGTTTGTCTGTCATTATAAGTCAGAAAAATAAAGCTGAAATGAACAAAATATTCCTGTGTATGGGGCCCCTGGTGCTGAAATTAAAAAAAAAGAATTAAAATAATTTACACAGTTTATAAAATAAGTTTTTTTGTCTTTGCTGTGCATTCATTTCAAGGATATCATTTTTACGTAAGATAATAGTTGTATGCTACATTTTACTAAACGAGATTAGATATATAAAAAGTTTCAAAAAAACAAAAAACGTTAAAAAATGAAAAAATCATAAATACGATTTTTTAGTACAAATGAAGGGAATAGACATTTTTTTGGGTTGATAGTTCTAGTTATTTAAAAAAACTTTTACAATCAAAACGTGGTCGACCCTGCCCGAAAGAAGAAACATTCTGCTTTTCAATGGTTGTACAAATGTTTAATTTGTATAACATCCAGAGAAGATTTTTGTGTTCAATAACAGAATGCTGAATGAAAAAACCAAGAATTGTTTATTTCTAGTTTATCATAAAAATTGTTTATTTAGAAATCGTGAGATGCGGTCTGGTGTGATGTAGGTTTCAGAAAAACGTAATAACAATTGTAACAATAATTGTAATATGTAAACAATGTTTGTAAATCCCAGGTCCTGAAGATGATCTCAATAAAGATCGAAACGTTGGCACGATAAAGAAAATGTTTTTCTGAAACCTACATCACACCAGACCGCACCTCACGATTTCTAAATAAATATCGATTAACGGTCACTAATCACCTCACATAAAAATTGTTATTATTTTTTATCCTGGGTTAAAAAATGGAATGACATATCGGTAATATACTTGAAATAACTTTTCAACAAATGCAGAAAATCATATTTTTTAAAAATTATTTAAAATATTTCCTCGGCTACTAGGGCCCATTGGCAAGAACGCTAGAAAAATTATCTATTTTTTTGACCTGGTATCGCCAAAAATGATTTAATTAAAATCGATCATTTCACTCTCTTAGTGTTCCCCTGATAATTAAAAACAAATTAACATATTTTTTATTTTTACAATTTTACAATTATTTTTCTTCCTACTTGATTGGTTTAGGCAACTACTTACTACTGCAAAAAAAACTATATTTTTTACCTCACAATGGTTTATTTGCGGAAACATTGTTGCTCACTCCTCAGGAGTAATAACGATTGGTTCATACCATATAATTCTGTATGTTAAATAGATTAGTAATTATCGGCTGGAATTTATTCTTTCTAGTGCAATTATACCATATTGGTTCTCACTTAGCAGTAAATCTGCTCTTTCCGACCGTACTGATTTAAGTGAAATCTATTCTATATCTATCCTGCTTTTCGGTAGTTATGAGATTTGAATTTATTATAATTATTTTGATCCTCGTTGAGTGGTTTAAAGTTAATATGGGTTTTCCTACCTGTCGAATTAGTTATTTTCTACCTGTCAAATGTTATGGGAATTGGTTTGCATCACGTAATCGCTTAGCATTAGTTCTATTATTTCGAGATTCGATTTTGAGAGAGAGAAAGAGAGAGAGAGAGAGAGAGAGAGAGAGAGAGAGAGGGAGAGAGAGAGAGAGAGAGAGAGAGAGAGAATGAATGAATATATGAACGTACAAATAAAATTTACATTATTCAAAATACAAAACAAGTATAATACAAATTTTTTTTCTGTCTACATATATTTTTAAATATTACTGATTAAATCGATTAAATCCATTAGAGTTCATGGTCCGATTGACCGATTGAATAACTTTTTGCAATTAATTAATTTTTATGTAAGGTATTGGTTCACGTCAGTGTCACGAGCGAGATTCGAACCCACGACCTTCGGCTAAATACACCGCTGCTCTACCAATTGAGCTATCACTTCGATCCACTCGGACGCCAACTTCCCACCTTTCGAATTTTCCCTCCTATTTTCCATTTTTCAAATGTCGTGTAATCTATTCGATTCTCGGCGACAAATGAAATGACCTCGGATAGCTTTAGTGAAGATATACTTCATTTTATTGATTAAATCCATTCGAGTTCGTGGTCCGATTGACCGAATAACTTTTTGCAATTAATTAATCTTTATGTAAGTTGGTGACCGTGTGGATCGAAGCCATGATAGCTCAAGTGGAAGAGCAGCGGCGTATTTAGCCGAAGGTCTTGAGTTCGAATCCTGCTCGTCACACTGACTTTTTATCTCAACCAATAACTAACGTGCAGATTAATTAATTGAAAAAATATTACTGGTGTTGAACAGCGTATGGTTGAACATAATCTAATGAGAGAAAACGGCTTTTAGAAGTTGCTTATAAGTATGGTTAGGTTTCTATGATTCTATAACATTGGCAAATTATCTTAAGCTTTTATGGAATGAATGAACTATGAAAACAGTGTGTTCGACACAACGGCATTTTAAATGCAGTTTGAGAATGTAAAAGTAGGTTTTTTTAAACTTTAAAATGAGAAACAATGTCAATTAGGATAATGGTTTTGGTGTGTTATTATGTCATGGAAAATAGTGAAAATTTTTATTTTGACAAATCGTCAAATTTTAAAATGGATAAATTATAATATTTCGGAATAATAGTGTAGATTACAGATATAGCGAATACACCTATACACACAATGAAGTGAGTGACAGGGAGAGAGAAAGAGAGAGAGAGAGGGTGAGATTGGTAAGTGCTCTTTATGTTTATTGAGCTTGTTTTTTGTTTTATTTGGAAGGGTGGGACCCGAATTATATTATAAAGCATGGGTAATGGCCTATGAAGAGTGGTCTTTGTTATACTGTCGTCAGAGCTAATTCATTAGAGATAGCATGACAGGGGAGGGAGATTAAACTAAGGTACTTAATTTAGAGTTCGGATCACGGAATCTCCGGGTGAGTCAGCACTGTGTTAATAACAACTACTTGAGCCTCCCAAAGGTGTGCGAGGCACGCGATAGCCCTGAACGGAGAATGTAAACTTTTTATTTTTGTAGAACCGTTAATGAAGTTAGTATTTCCAGCGCCATGGTAATTTAGCAGGGCTTAAAAGCTAGATAGGTGAAATAGTTTTCAAACCCTGGAAATTTTTTTCGTCACCGTCGTGAATTAACGGTGTCAGTAGAGATTAAAGCTGTACGGTGGTAAATCCTGGCCATTGTTGTCGGCTTTCGGTCAGAATGGCCACATTGTAACCCACCATGCTATTTACAACTTTCACTGTTCAAGAAAAAAGTACCTGGTCATCTTGACACAGCGTGCTAACTGATTAAACGTCCTATTGCAGATATTACTTTATTTTTGATTAGGAAAACCAATGTGTACAAAGACGGGTTTAATTATCTGTCTTATTGTATCTTAATGCACTGCTAATCACAACGATTTCCTTTAAAATACAACTTTCAAGTCTAAACGATATCTTAGTGCCTCTAATTCTTGAAACGTTACTATTAAAGTTTAAAGAACACGGAAGACCCACACACACAAACCTATCCAGGCGTTTTTTCAGATTGGCAACAGACCCTCGTTAAAGCTTTCCTTTTAGCTTTTTCCACCAAGCCAAATTAAATCTTCCCGGCTGCGAGCAGGTGTTATGACGGATCGCGTCCTGGCCCATCAATCATCTCGCTCCAAATCATGATTCATGATCTACATGAACGTTTAATTAAACCATTATCATGCAGTCTCAAAACATTAACAGAATAAATGGAGGGGTTCCAAAGACTTATTACCCTTATAACAATACCCGTTTCTATTTTGAATTTGCATTGTTGTAATGACAATAAGTCTTTTAGATAAGCGTGAATTGTAATATCGAAACCTTGGATTCCTTTTGAAACAGTACAATCCTTAATTTAAATTACCATTTTAGGTTTGTTTTTACATTAGTTTTAAAGAAAAAACGAACTTTTATCTTAATTATACCTCTTCTTTACGATTATTTGTTCTAGCTTATATATTTCGAATCCTTTTTTCTGATAAAAAGAGCCGTTAAAGGTTAAACAACGTTAGGAATAGATAGCAATATTAATGGAGGGATTTAATTTATAGTTGCTGCTATCTTTCCTCAGTCGACTCTGATCAATAGTAAAATCGCGCATTGTCTTATCGCCTTAATCAAGTATACGTTTAAGGGCGTTTACAAAACTGTTTTTCAATTTTGATTGCTGCTCTTGGCTTTAAACGATTTCCCACGACATGATAATTAATCATTTGAATTAATAAGGAGTTGCATGTTTGATCTGCGAATAGGCGAATGGTTGATAGCAAATTGATCTAAAT